AGGTACACACGCTGATGCTTATTTGTGAAACCTTTATTTTGAATCTGAGCTCTTTCTCTCTCTCAACCATTAAACGCACACATCTCTCTCTCTCTCTCGGCGATGAAGAAGACGGAGGAGATGACTCTAGGAAGAAGCTTTGTTTCTCAAATGATCAATCGGTTGTTCTTGAAGAGAGCTTCAAAGAACACAACACTCTCAATTCTGTAAGTATACACAACACGAAGTCTTAGCTTGAAGCTCAGCTATGGACGTCGGGGTAGTTTGGTTGTTTTACTGAGATCTCTGTGATCTCTCTCTCTCTCTCTCCCTCTCTTAACCCTTATACGCACTCAATCCTCCATTGAATCTCCATCTGCACTGGCAATTTCGAAGATTCAAAATGATTTCGAAGATTCAGATCGATTTCGAGATTCAGAGTAATTTCGAAGCTCCATCGCCACCACCATCTACATCGGCGAGGTAACGAGCTCCATCCTCTTTCTCTCTGTCTCTCTAGATCTCTATCTCTCTTTAGATCTATGAAATCAATGTTTTTAAGGCATTCTTATTTGATCCTCATTTGTATAGATTTAGTGATTTCAGAGCGATTTTGATTTCGAAGCTCCATCCCCACCACCATCTGCATCGGCGATTTCGATTTCGCTAAGGTAAGCTTCACCGTCTCTCTCTCTCTCTCTTTCTCTCTCAGTTTCCTCTCAAATTACTTCAATTTTTTTGTGGCTTCTCTTCTAATGATCTGAATCTTGTTTTTATTTTTTCATAGTCAAGTTCAAGCTCCTTTCCCCTATCCAAACCCAAGACGCTGAGAAGAAAGGCTATAAGTTGTTTGATTTCACTTATGAATTTGAGTTTATTTATTTATTTATTTTGGTCATGTTTAGTTTTTAAGTGTTTTGTGGTGCAATAGAATCTTGTTTGGAGGTTACACTGATCAGATGGTGGAGGATGCAAATGCTGTTAAATAACCATACTTTTATTGGCATGTCAGCTAGGCCCAAGGTGTTGTCTGATACTTTATGGTTGGAATTCCAGACTGTTGGATATAGGGGCGGGGGGTGTACCTCAGTGTGAACGTTAGTGGGAACCAGATTCTGGAAGGCTGTGATCACAGTGGCAGTAGTAGGTTTGTCAAAGGTCATGGAAGTTGTTGATCATGGGCATGTTGGATGTAATCAAACTGCATAGTTTCTAGTTTTCACATTGTTATGGAGCAATTCTTCATCAATTGGTATTGGCGAATACATATTGATTGGTCAGATGACTCATCTCTATGTTTAAAGCATTGGGCAAGTAAGTAAATATTATTGAACAAAATAGAATATTGAATAGGAACAACAAATGAGATTAATGTATAGTGTGATAAATGCATTGTTGATTGACTTTGGTAGTGTATGTTTCTCTTTTCTCTTTCACTAAGCAACAGATTTATACAATTAAATTGTTTGTTCTATATACTTTTGTAGTGGATATCTAATTTAGTTAGTTGTCTGCTCTTTTACTCTTATGTTGACTCTAAGCAACAAATGAGTTAGCATTGGTTTATTTAATGTTAAATGCTCTAGAATCCTAGTACCATCATGTTTATTCCTCCTATTTTTTTAATTTATTTTTAAAATTTTTAATTTTTTGATACTAGAAATCAGAGATAGCATGGATAAAGAAAACTAAATTGTTTTTTAAGGTTGCTGGTTGCATTCATACCACACCTGTTGCATTGGATATATCTATCAAGTGATGAAATATTGGTGTAATGCAACTTACATTGTGATTATTATCAAGCATGCAGTTAAATTTGATGGAATTTAGTGTGTGGTGTAGTCTTTTTTGTTTGCTACTGATAAAGATTATACCTAATCTCGGGCTGCTTAAAATTGATTGTTGATTTTTGTTCAAAATGCCAGTTATTGAGGCTAGCAGTGGGCCATGTAGTTTTCATGCCTACCATGACATCTGTTTGTGGATGGCTTTGGATTGTATCTCTTCATCTCTCTCTCTCAAAGGGGGACAAAAGAACATGTCTTGAATGGGTCTTAGAGGTGATTAACTATAACAGAGTCAATTTTGATGTCACAGTGTATTTGTAGTAAATGATTCAACCAAAATAAACTATAAAACTTGTTGATTTTAGCCCTGACAGAGCTATTGGTCAAAAGGGTCTCGTTAAACTCAGTTATGGGTTGAAGTGGGCTCTGTTGGAATGAGGATGGTTCAACAACATTAGGGTACATATTAAGAATGCTGATAAATATTATATATTCTTTATGACACATATTTTTCATGTAGAATATACAATTATTTTAAGTTTCTTGAAATGTGCCATAAAGGCACAAGTTAAGTTAACAAAATCATTTTAAGAATTCATGCCACCACTTTTGCTGTTATATTACAACCACTTTAGCAAAACATGCCAAATTCTTTTTTCCTATTTACATATTTTAGAAACAATTTGTCATGCAAATTTTGTTAGTTTTTTTATTTTAATTTCTATATTCAAAAATTGTAAATGAAAATTATACCAAAAGTGCCCTAACATACCTGGATTATCAGCTTTAAATCTTATGACAGGCCATCCATTCTTAGGGACCCCAACAGTGTTCAACTCAGTTGGATCAACCAATTTAAACCCTTTCGGGTTAGTTTTCTTGTCAAAATTCCCAAAACCTGACCCAACGACATAAAAGCTAAACCCATGCAGATGCATTGGATGATTTTCGGCTAAACTCAAGACATTGGTCCCCTGTTTTGGAATGTCTTTCCATTTTCATGTTTTTGTTTAAATGTGCTCAATAGGCCCATTAATTGCTAAAGCAATGGTTGGCTATTTTTTGGAGGTATTATTTTCCAAGAGTCATATAATTCTTTTCTTTAGCTTTTCTTGGTATATTGATGGGTTTTTGTTTTTTATCTATTTTTTTTTTAAAATTCATTATTCTTATTTTGTGCAGTTATATTTTTGGTTATCTTTACCTTTTGGCAGAGTTAGTGCTTTTTGGACTTGTGTCATTGCTAATGGATTATTGGATCATTTTTGTGGCCAAGATTTGCGTTAAATCATCGGCCTTGAGCAGTCGGTTCAGCGGGCAATGAGATTAGAGAGATGTGAAAGGGTAAATTTTCGAAGTCTTCAAGATTATATTTTTGTAAGAATTTAGATGTCATTTGATTTTGAAGTTTCAGGATTTTCAATCTCATTATTTCTTAAGAATATTTTCTTATTGTTCTTGAAATTTCAACATGCAATTTTATTGGTTGATATCATTGCTAGGTGAATGGTTTGAGCCCTTCAACAGACAGAGTTGTTATAGAATGTTGATCACCTTGAAAAGTGATTTGGTATAAACTAGCCTCCTAATCTTGAAAAAGCCTTGAATAAGATTTTATTTCGTATTAATTGACAAAACAAGTATTTTGTAGATCCTAAAAAGAAGGTGACAGTAATTAAGTTAAACTTTCATTTATACTGCTTAACAATCTCACATAATATACCTAATTAGCTAATAGGCTCATTTAAATCCTAATAAATATTGTTATAGAATGTTGACCGCCTCGAAAAATGATTTGGTATAAACTAGCCTCCTAATCTGGATAAAGCCTTGAGATAAGATTTTATTTCGTATTAATTGACAAAAGAAGTATTTTGCAGATCCTAAAAAGAAAGTGACAGTAATTAAGTTAAACTTTCATTTATACTGCTTAACAATCTCGCATAATATACCTAATTAGCTAATAGGTTAATTTAAATCCTAATAAATATGTCATGTATTGATCCCTTACTAACTGGAGAAGTTCAATCAATACCTGCTGACTGTTAGGTTAACTGCGATTGATTTCATTCTGGAAATTAGGTCTTGGTTGGGAATTGGTTTTTTTAGTGGGGAATCAGCTTTTTAATGAGGTAAAGTTAATGTGTTTGGGAATGAACTTTTTGAGTTGTTTTGAAAACTGTGAATTACTGAGATGTTTGACTTTTTTTTACTGGCTTTTTAGATTGTTTTATTGACTTTTTGGATCTCAATTTTTTTTTTTTTTTGGGTGGCAAGTTGCCAAATGGAGCCTTAATCACATTGAATAAAGCTGACCATAAGCATTTGTAAGAGTATAACTTTCTTTATGAAGAGTTCAGGTAATTTTGAACCTGCCCATATGCAGGCATGAACACAAACGAATGTCTAATATTTTAAATCAAATCAGATTGGGCAGATCCCACACCTTAAGGGCGAAAATGAATACTGCAAATAATTTCATTTCAGATCATATGGTTTCAATTTATACTGCAAGATCTCAAGATTCATTATCTTCTGAAATGTTGTGAGAAGAAACCTGTGCATTGCAATTAGCAAAAATTTCTAATTTTCAAGAGAAAAAGCCTAGGCATGTGACTTCTGGTTTGAACAGCCACTTTGCGCAAATGATGCAAAGCTTTAGTGGTTGTTTAGGAAACCATAGAACCGGTTTTGTTGGATGATTTGAAGCCTTGTTCGATTAAATCCAATAAGATTAGAAAATAGATTTCTCATGTCCTTCATATATAAAGCAGCACTAATTTTTTTTGTTTTGTTTTGTTTTTTTTTTTTTTTTGTTTTGTGGTGAGGTTAGTATAGATATAAAAACCAGACAAGGCTTGTCAACATTGATCAGGTCAATGGAATTCATTTGCATAGGAAATTCAGAAAATGAAGCAGGCATGTAATTCTTCAGAGTGAATACCTTTCTTTTTTTAATTGGAAGGAAATACGATTTTTCCTTTCTGATGAGGATTTATTCTTCTATGATTTCTGCATCCATTGTTCTATTGATTCCAAATAAAAAAATAAAAATAATGTGTTTTACTTTGATGTTCAGACAGGACCAAGGATTGGAAGTGATAGCAGAAGGTTTGGATACATGGAAAAACATGGCCCATGATTTGAATGAGGTTTCCTACTGCCTTATGCATTTGTATCTGTTACTTTGTCCCATTTTGTGCACATCAATTTTTGACTTTGCAATTCATACAGGAAATGGATAGGCAAGTTCCTTTAATGGACGGATTGACACTAAGGTTTGAGAACACATCCTGTCCCAGTAATATCTGAAGCTACAAGTATTCTTAAATTATTAATGGTGTATTTTCACACCCTACAGGTCGACAATGCAGCATCTGACTGTGTTTTACTTTGATGTTCACACAGGACCAAGGATTGGAAGTGATATAAGAAAGTTTGGATACATTGAAAAACATGGCCCATGATTTGAATGAGGTTTGCTACTGCCTTGTGCATTTGTTTCTGTTGCTTTGTCCCATTTTGTGCACATCAATTTTTGACTTTGCAATTCATACAGGAAATGGATAGGCAAGTTCCTTTAATGGATAGATTGACACTAAGGCTTGAGAACACATCCCGTCTTAGTAATATCTGAAGCTATAAGTATTCTTAAATTATTAATGGTGTATTTTCACATCCTACAAGTCGACAATGCAGCATCTGACCTTAAGAACACCAATGTGAGACTTAAGGATACTGTTAACCAGGTGATTGAGCTGCCACTGTATTTTCTGTGGATTTGCATCACTTTGTGTGTTGTAGAGAGAGAGAGAGAGAGAGAGAGAGAGAGAGAGAGAGAGAGAGATTCAACTATGCTATGTCGTAGATCTTTTTGCTGGATTTGACAGAAAGTTTTGATTTGTTTGAGCTGAGGTCCAGTCAAAATTTCTATATTGATATTATACTGTTGTGCATAATTTTTGGGATTGCCGCCTATCTATACAAGTAAGTTTCACTTTCTCAAAAAATGGAGAGGAAATGTTTTATCTAATTCTTGGTAATAGCTGACATGCTTAATGGACTCTAGAAAATAATTTCATTCGTGGGTGAAGTTATAGTTAGAAGTCAATAACTTATAAACTAAAGCTGAGTGCATGGTTATTCTGATTTGGATCTTCTTCTTGGTTTATTATTATGTTTTATGATTGGCAGAGACCGAAAGGATTGAAGGCCATGGGAAGCAGCATGGAGAGCGATTCAGAATGACAATAAAGGATGGATGGGGGCTTTCCTTCGGATTCTTATTTCTCTTCTTTTTTTCTTTTTCTTTTTTTTCCTTTGATCTGATTGGGGAGTTGGGTGTTTTGGTTTAGTTTCTTCTTATTTTTTATGTTAAATAGGGGAGGGAGTGGTGAGCGAGAGCGAGAGAGAAGAGGGTAATGTTATTTTGTGGATTTGTATACAAAGTAGTAATTAATATTTTGGTTGAGAATTGTGAATACAATTTTTGGATATGTTATTTTGGGGGTAATATTAAAATATCATTTGTGGATATGTTATTTTGTGGGTAATGGTCATTGGTAAATGGGAAAGTGAATTAACGATGCATTTGCTATTTGAATGTAAGTTATTATTTTATATTATTGTTATTCAATGTTATTATATGTATTTTTTTAGTTTAATCACATAAAATTAGCACAATTTCAAAAAAAAAGAAAAAAAGAGGAGATGTCCCGGCATTTTTCAAAAACGCCACTTAAACCCTAAATATTAACGGTTAGATTTTTTAAAAAAGATATGACGATGTTTTAAAAATGTTGCTAAATTTCATAATGGCGTCATGATTTGTCAAGTAAGACATTTGGCGGCTAATATAACGACATTTTTAAAACGTCACAAAGTTATAGCGACGGCCGCGTCCTCGGCGTTTGGTGCTAAGCGTCGTAAAAAGAATTAGCGGTGTTTTTGACACTTATAGCGGCGTTTTTTAAACGCCGCTAAATGCTGAATTTCCTTCAGTGTTGTATGGACATACCATGGAAGTTGAATTGCGATGTTCAAATGTCTTTAGCACAAATGACAACCTAAAAAGTTCTTGCTCTCTCCCATGCATATAAATTCTTTCTGTTTCACTGACTGCTCAACCAACTTGGTTGTACTCTAGGATGTTCTTCCACAACCTCTTAGAACGATGCCAACGGTTAAATTGCCAAGCTCATCAAGGTAACAACACTTGACGTTTCAATTTCAATGAACAAAAAATTAAAGTCTAAAAGCATGCCTAGCATAGGTGCCTAAATTCCAAGTCCACCAAGAGCTTGTGTGGATATCACGTTGAAGATGAATTGTATCTTTTTTGTCTCTTATTGTGAACTTTCATTGTTGGGTTGGTTACAATCTCAAGTTTGGAATGTTAGTGCAATTTGTTGCTGCTACAGTAATTTATCAACAAAATTCCCAAGGATATGATAGGTGTTTAAGATTATTAAGTTTTACTACAAACAAATAAATTTCATTTAATGGACTCTAATATTTAATTCTCTGACTTCAAATATTGCAAAACAAATTCAATAAGGCCATAAATATATACAACATGATTTTTAAAAATAAACTTAAATAAAATAAAAAAACTAACACAACCTTATCATCGAACTTTTTGCCATTGTCCAATTAATGAGTTGTCATCAAGAAATACAAATTGTCCAAACACATGCAGTCAAATGGAATGCTGAACAGTTACAAGATTTTACTGGCCATTCAAAATTATCAAAAAATAAAAGGAAATACTTTAGTAAACATAGTGGTTACTGTAGACGCGTCCTGGGGCTTCATGCCACAGTTCAGACTCAAAATGTCACGGCTCTTAATCTGATCTCACAATGTGCGATGTGAGATTGATAAATCACCAAAGAGTTGAAATTCGGCAAATCGTTTTGGAAAACTGATTTTTGTAAAGAAGTGCCAAACATGGACTGCTTTGCCAAATACAAAGTTGCCACCTAAATATTTTGTTTTGGGGGAATTTAGGAAACCCTGACTCGTTGCCTAAGGCCACGTGTCCGTCATCACCAAAGTTGCCTCAGCTCGCGAACTTGGGTATGATTATGAGCACCCCCGCTCGCTTGATCAAAGATCGGCCTGTACTAAACATGATATCTTGTTTTTGAAAACGCATGTGTTCTTATTCCGATTAATTAGCTAATCTTACTATGTGATGCGCACGGCAGACAAGTATAGACTAGATCGCCTAATTTGGAACAAAGCATCACATATCTGTTTGTTTAGAAATGGTTTGAAGTTTGCTACTCGTAAGTAGGCTAAAATGCGGATTTCAATGAATTGTTCCAATTCAAGTAATCCAACCTTCACCCACAGGCATTTAGGTAGTTATATCACGTAAGCAATTAGCCTCATGGCAAGCATGCTGTCATGTTAACACTCACACACATACAAGATGCTAGAGCATAAACACTCACAGTGTACTCCGAGCCAAAACAAAGAACTAGTTAGAAATCATGCGTGATCCTAGTTCATGTTAAGATGGCTAATGCAACACATGCCAAGATGAAACTAGAAATAGGCTCGACTATTCTAAGATGGCGTATGAGATGTGACAATTCGATACATGTATTCAACTTGGAATTGAAATACAATGCAGTTAGTATGATGCGCCGAGCCCGGTGCATGCAATACAGATAAATGGATGCAAACATGCAAGCATAAGGATGCTAATTGAAAAATGACCTAGAACTAACCATCGTAAGCGGTTAAGTAAAAGGGAGAAAGAAATGGAGGTTTGGAAGACATGCATCGCATACATGCACGCTTATTACAAAATTGTGCCCTCTCGACGGAGGGATCGAAAGAATAATACAAATCATCTAATTAACTAACTAACAAGCTAATTAATTAATTACACAACCAAATCGAAATAAATAACTCTTCTAAGTTATTAAAACACTGAAATGGCCTCGAGATGAGTGATGAATGCATGCTCGGTCGGCTTCGCTCGGAAATCCGTTGCCATGCTTCATGCTACCTTTGTTTGCACTGTTTTGCACCTCTGGAAACTGTGAAAATCTCTGTGATGCTTTTGAACCACCTCATGGACACTCTGAGAGGTCATCGGCTAAGAGGGGTGGCCATCGGCCCATGGACAGTGGTCATCGACCAAATATGAGGTTATCGGCCAAATATTGTTAACCGACCGGCACTGAAGACAGCCGATCGGCCATCCCTTCCTGTAAAATGCTCCTTTTGCTGCAACAGAGGACAGACAGAGCATGGCAATACATTTGCAAGACAATGTTTGCAACCACACCCCTTATCATGTTTAAGACTCAAAGGAGTGTAGTTTTCGACCCTCGGGCCATCAATCACGCATTCCAATGCATGATGGCCAAAGAAGCCAAGTTTGTAATTCAATATCAAATGAAATGCACAAAACATATAAGGGACCCCAACCTCTATCATGCTTGATCAAGAGGCAAGGGAATGCACACATAATGCAATGCAACCTAAGCATGCAAACAACTCAAGCATGATACAAATCTAATGCAACATGAGCATGCAAGCATACAATATGCAATAGGCATACAACCTAAATATGCAAAATGAAACAAGCATGCAACAACATGGTAAGATGGACTTAAATCGAAATGGGCTACTCTCAAACATGCCCAAATCAGTGGCCAAAGTGCTAAAATGATGGTACCAAAATGCAAAACAAACATGCATGCCAATTGGCCCATAAGCTAGGCAACAAGACACGACTCTCAAACATGAGCAAGGTGTGACAAACATGTGAATGTGGCAATGCAATAAGCTCTAAAAATATGTGAGGAATGATGCCAAATCAACCAATCAAAGCAAGTATAGCATGCAAGAAAGCCCAAAGCTTAAGGCTAGCCAAGGAGCTCAAACCATGGCTATTCAAAACATGAAGCAAATGGCAAGTATAATCCAAAACAGTCCTAGATCATGTCAAAATGAGCCTAAAACATGCAAGGATCAAAGCCAAAATAAACTAGAATAAAGGGGCAAAAGCATGAGGCATGCAAGGCTATAAAAGGGGTGTTACACTACACCTATCAAAACCAAACATGGCATGATATAAACCAATAAAAACAGAGTTATGGCATGGTAAAACAAAACCAAAAACCCACTTAGATAGCATCCAAATGACCTAAGCATGGAAGTATACACAATGATCCATTCAAGAGGCATAAAACATCAACTCTTTAAAATATTAAAGGAGTAATAAATGCAAGTGTATGAGCATACTATATGGACTGAAA